TTATTTTTCTTTTAAAAAAATATAATAAATAAATAAAGATTTTGGTAACATTTCAAGTTTTGGAAATTAAAATTTGGAGCGTTACAGAATTTGCTTCAATAATCACTCCTGCTAGGATTTGAGAAATATTTCTCTTGCCTGTGATGTCACTGGAAACTGAAAAGACAGTACTAAACTGAGGATATTATCATACTTGATTGAGGCATGGGATCTGCTTTCGTAGACAGATTGTGCTCTATTTGTGTGATGGAACTCTGTAGTCCTCCTTAACTCATCCAAAACAAAATTATTGAAAGGCTCATTTGAGCTGTTACTACGTTGATTGAGATTTAAAATTTCTTAATTTAAGAATCTGTTAGGTTAAAGAATTTGATAGCTTTATTTAAGGTCCCTGACTAACTTTTTAAATAATTATGTGGAGAAAAATATTTGATTATTATTTTTGTAATCATATAGATGATGAATCCCAATATAGATTGCTTAAACCTCTGTGTTGACATATGTGCTCGTAATATTTTGCTGGTCTTAATGGAATGTATAACCGGGAACTGAAGGCAAGAGGGTGCAGTTGCATATTTAGCCCTTNATTTTTCCCATTCTCATTCTTATTTTTTTTTCTTTTTTCATTTCAATCACACATTTTATCAATAAAATAATATTACACATAAACCCAAAAATTCTCCTTACTTTTTAACCACACATTCTTCCATCAATTACTATTCCAAATCAAATTCTTCCATAAAATGGGTGTCAAACAAGGGCTTAGTTGAAAATAAATCCTTGTTTTTTTATTTTGGACCCTTTAATTTGTTGATATAACTTGACTGTAAAGATGAGTAATCTGAAGTTTATTGGTCTCTGATACAAGACAAAAGTCCTCTTCATTGTTTCTTTTTCTTGGGTTGTTTGGTCAATTTCAATAGAATATTCTTATCACAGATGAAGTATAAAATTGAATTTGTTGTTTTAGCGTGTATACTTTTCATGATTTTGAAAACTGATTGTAGACTTACCCGTGGCTGCTTATGTTGTAGGTTTTCAACGGGCTTTGGAGTCACTGGTGGTAGTGCTTTAATCCATGAATTTTACGCTAGAGAAGTTTCAAATCCGGTTCACTTGACTGTTGATACTGGATTCAAAAATGGAGAGGCTGCAATAAAGGGATTTGTCTCAATTAATTTATCTCTTGGAGATCAACAACTTGCTGCACAATTTCAAGAAATTCCATTGGACCTACGCATGGTTGAGGCTGAGCGCGTTGGTTGTATGTATCTGACCTTTGAATTTATTGAAAATTTGACATTTCATTTGGATATGTTTGTGAGCACGTATATGACATGACCCCACATGCTGGGTGTTAAAAAGTGTTTACCCTCTCTATGCCATGCAAAATGCAGCAATTGAGACACAGCAGGCATTATTTTGGTAATATCAATTTGTTGTACAATATGTAGAGATAAATGTTTCAAGTCTGTGTATGGGATACATTCTTACTGCTTGGGAGATATGGTTTGTAGCACAAGAAATTAGATTTGTGCCCACTTATGTTTTTCTGTACCTTAATTTTGCATGACCCCGATTTCTTCATCTGACAAGTTTCTCTTAACCATATGTAATTGTTTTGTATAAGAAATGGGTTTTCCAGATTTGTGCCCGCATATGTTTTGCTGTACCTTAATTTTGCATGACCACGATTTCTTTATCTGACAAGTTTCTCTCTTGAGCACATGTAATTGTTTTGTATAAGAAATGGGTTTTCCCTACATATTGCTTCGGATAAGTGTTATTGGTACAGGGTTAAGCATGCTTAATGGTTGAAGTTTCCTTTAGTACATGTACATTGGGCTACTATTTATTTAAAGTGAAACTGTATTCTTCTTAGTACTTTTATTTGTAAGTTTCTGATTATAAAGCTAAATGTACATTTATTCTGTGTTTCATTTCTGCCTCATTATATGTTTCTTTCCTTATTGTTTTTATATTTATATTTATATACTACTATTGTATACCTTAGTCGTCTTTCTTGCTTGATACCTCATGTTGGTAGTTAATTAAAAATAATCTGTTTCAGAATTTAAACTGTAAGGTAGAGCATCTATGTTTTGGATTACTATGTTGATGAAAAATCTTAATGGGAGTGTTTACAACTTTGTAGTTGATGTTCTTAAACCAACAACAGTGGATAAGATCCCCAATGATCTGGAAGGAATGGAAGCTTCAATGGAACGTTTGCTTGCTCTAATAGATGACGTATACAAATATGTAGATGATGTGGTGGTGAGATAAATGGTTTTTTTGCTCTTAAATTATGAGTTTGCTGCCCTCTGCTAATTTGTTGACTACATAATGTTTTCCTTCCAGGAGGGGCGCGTTGCTCCAGATAATGACATTGGCCAATTTATATCAGATACTGTAGCATCTATTCCGAAATTATCACCACACGAATTTGATAAACTAGCGAATGATAGTCTGCAGGTATATATCTTTCTTTCCCTTCCCTTCGAAAGGTTATCTTTTTGGGGCGGAAAGAGTTATTTGTCATTTTTCCAATATTCTGTTGTTCGGATATGGATCTTTAGCCCCCCTGTTTGGTATTGATTTAAATTAGATTTTAATCTAAGTCAAAGTCAAAGAATCAATATTAACCACATAATTTATGGGTCTCACTATTAGCAAAATCTATTAAAAATCTAATTTTAATTCTCACCAAACAGGGGCTTGTTAGTTCACTCTATATAATTAATTGCTCACCTTATTAGTGTCATTATTGGAAAAAAACTCAAAAAAAGTTTAGAGAATTGACAAAGCACTTGAAACAAGAAGTTGAGTTGTAATTTGAATAAAGGGATCTCGTGCCACCACAATAATTATCTGTAGAATTTATTATTCTTATAGAATTAAGCTATGTGTACACCCAATGGTGTGGACACATGTGTGGGGCCCCCTCCATGTGAGAGGGGTGTAAACCATTGTGTACACCATAGCACAACCCATTCTTATATCAAGCAAGTGCAGAAATTACACTGATTAAAGCAGAGGTTCTTTCATTGGCCTGTCAAATGTACAAAAGGGGGGAGATTCGTAGTCCCTTTTTAGGGGCTGCTATAACTATTATTCAGATTCTTGGCATCAACTGGACTTGATACTAACAGAATAAGTGTGGCTCATAAGAATATCTAGGTGGAGTTCGGAAAAACTAAGGTACAAAGAAGGGGTGACTCTAGTCCTTTCTTTGGGACTGCTATAACTGTGATGCAAAATGTTGGGTCTCAAATGGACTTGGTATTAACAGAATAAGCATGGCTCGTAAGAATATCTAGGTGGAGTCTGTAAAAAAATAAGGTACAAATTTGTGAAAGTCTGGCAAAATGTCATGTTTAAAAAGGCGAAGAGAAAAATTAATGTTAGCAAACGCTGAAAGTAGACCAAAGTGTGCCAGTTTGAAATAACTGTAATAGATGAAAAGGTAGGCCAGAGATAACTAGTTTATAAGGTTATTTGAACAATGGGATTATGAGACCATTTTCACATTAATTTCACGACTTTACAATTGAGATGAGGCTTTGTGAGTTGATAACTGCCTTGTTCGGGAACTAGTGCCTTTCCCAGTTTACTTGTCATACTAGTTTAAGTTTTTAATTTATATTTTCAGTTGGTTGATACTTACCATGCAATTAGTACTTGCTCGAATTTGCACGTGTTTAGAGGCTTGTTCTTGGTCCTGTGATCTCTATCTGACCACAGGTTCTGTTTCTTCTTGTAGGACCAGTTACTGTTACTTTATTTGTCAAGTATTACAAGAACACAACTCAGCTTAGCAGAAAAGTTGAATACGGCTGCTCAGATCCTGTAATAGATTTACCATTTGCCTGTTTGAAACTCATGCGATAGGGCTCTTCCCATCATGTTATTCGCAGCTTCATACATGAAGGTGGAAAAAGCTTTGACTAATGCACAATTCATTTCACGATTTGAGCAATTTTGTCTCCGAAAATTGTTTGGGCTAAATGTGATAGGATCTATATTATTACTTGGAAAGATTGACCTGTTTAATGTCACTATTGGAGTCTTTAATGGTATTATGCTCTCTTATTGTTTTCTTTATGGACATTTTTTTTTTGACCCTTCCAACTTCAAACTGCTAAGCACTCTGGTGATGACCATGCAAGGTTGAGAGATAGGTCCAAATTTATGACACATTTCATGCCCAATTTCAATGCTTGCAACATTTTCAATCGCGACTATGGACATTCTACTGTAACAAACTACAGATTGACTTAATTATATTGTTTGGTTCAACTAAAACATTGATTGAAACTTAAAAAAGTCAAAATTTAACAATTAATTTTAATTACACATTTAATGATATTCACAACTTTCTAAATACATACTCTCGACTTTTATTAAAATTTACTAAATATTTTATTTTTATGTAAACCAAACCTGGACTGTTCAGTGTAGAAACAAAAACATATGAAAGAGATGATTTTTCAATTTGTTTTTTGCTTAATAGTGTTTGTGTGGGATAATTACTTGATTGATCACTGAACTTTGTAAAAGATTTTCAGAAGTTCACTGAACTTCAAAGTTTCCCCGTTAATCATTGAACTTTACAAAATTAATCTCATCTATCATTGAAAATTTTAAAAGTTTCCCTAATAGTCATGAAACTTTATAAAATGTAATTTCATCTATCACTGAGAGATGAATGTGTTACATTTTGTAAAGTTCAGTGACTAATGAAAAAATTTTCGAAGTTCAGTGGTCCTCAGAAAACCTTATATAAAGTTCAGTGACCAATCACGTAATTAACCAATCTTTATTTTTTTAGTCTTTTTCTTTCTTTTTTATTTTTAATGTACCCTTACCCACAATTTTATTCTCTCTAGTATCGTCAAATTTTGAAAAACGAATGATATTTTATCTCAAGGTAACCAACAAGGTTATCTGTTGACATGACGAAGGAATAAAAAAAATATAAAAGATTGATGAATTACTTGATTAGTTATTGAACTTTGTATAAGGTTTCTAAAAAGTCATTGAACTTCAATTTTTTTCCTTAATCATTAAACTTTACAAAATGTCCATTGTTGGGAACTTCAAAAGTTTGTGTTTGTCATTGAGCTTTACAAAATATTGAAGTTCAGTGACTAATGAGAAAGTTTTTAAAGTTTAGTGATCCCTTGTGAATCTCACATAAAGTTCGATAACCAATCAAGTAATTATCGTGTGTGTTAATTTCCAAAACCTAAAATGGCTATTTAAAAAAAAAAATTAGAATCTTATCAGTGCCCAGTTTTCTTTGCGCTCAAGAAATTAGTATTATTAAAATTAAATCCCCCAAAACCCTCCAAAAATTAGAGAAGATTCAAAGCAATGGACGTGATCAAGTCGCAGCAAATTTTATCACGACCGATCGAGAAGGTGGTGGTGCATCCGCTGGTTTTGCTCAGCGTCGTCGACCATTACAACCGTGTGGCACGCGACTCCAAGAAGCGCGTGATCGGGGTTCTCCTCGGCACTTCGTTTAGAGGCGTCGTTGACGTCACCAACAGCTATGCTGGTCAGAATCTATTGCATTTTTCAGATCTGATAATTTTATAGGACTGCAATATTTTTTCTTTTTCTTTTTGGTTTTGTGTTTGTGTATATATATTGGAGCTCCGTTTAGTTGAATTTTGGATTTAATTTTGATTCGGATTATTGAACTGGAGGGGGTGGTTATGGTAGTGAAAATTGCATTATGTCGATTATTGTTTGTGGGTTTAGTTTAGATCACGTTTGGCTTAGCTTAGACAAAAATAAGCCAAAAAAATCCATAGTATCAAGAGTGATATGGCCTAAATAGTCCGGCTTCTCTTCTACAGAAGAAGCAAAGCTAAACATGCTGTTAGAGTTATAGTTTTTTACTTATTGGAGCGATGCTCCGTTTGTACTTGTGAACAAATGAATCGTTTTGGGGCAACGTTAAAGTAGAAATTTGGATGCATTGAGCTAGATATGGTTTGAATTTTGCTATTTTTGATATTGACTAGAAACGAGAGGTTTATTTTGATATTTTGCGGCCATAGAGAAACAGAAATATATCCTAAATGTAGCAGTGGAACATTTTGTAATTGGTTATAGGGTTCCTCTTAAAAACTTCATGCTTATCTCTTTCAACTAAGAATTCCTCTGCCAGCACTGGGATTGAATATAATTTATTCTTGGATGTTGGTTCCAGAAGGCTTAATTCCTCGCCACCAAATGTGGTCAAACCCTTGTTCACAGTTTCTATGTTGAGTTTCTCTATCACTCATCAAAGTGTTTTTTCTTTTCTAATGGTTTGATATTGCAATGGCTTTTGCCGGTTATTTTGGAGATCTATGACATTTATAAGCATTGTGCATTACTATATTTCTCTTCTCCAGTGATTAATTTAGTAAATAAGAACTTGCAATGTATCTAAATTCACAATTGAATACTCTTAAACTAAGCATGGTTTGAACCATAATTATGAACAAATATAAATAGCATGTTTTTTATTCAGTATGTGTTAAATCAGTAACCTTAATGATGGTATTTTTCAATACTGGCTATGACTGCTGTTATGCACTAATTAGTGAATTGAGCATTGTTGAGTTCAATGTGTTTTTGTGAAGCATTGTTAGAATTTTACATCCGAAGCACAATTTATGTTTTGTGATTTTCTCTAGATTTGTCATTTCTGTTTGGTGCTACTAGAAATCAAGATTTTTAATTCAAGTCAGAGTCAACAATTGATTTTTATTACACTGAGACCCACAACTTTTCAATTCATCATCAACTTCTATCAATATTTACTAAAATCTGATTTTATTCCCCACCGAACAGGGGCTTAATATGACACTATCTTCCATTTTGCCTGTTCAATATGGATCTTCAGAGTCATGAGTTCCATCTGTTATCTCTCTTATTAATGGTTTGATATATTCAGTGCCTTTTGAAGAAGAGGACAAGGACCCAAGCATCTGGTTTCTTGACCACAACTACCATGAATCAATGTTTTCCATGTTCAGAAGAATCAATGGTTTGAAGTTCATCTTTGTAATTTATAATTAGATTTCATGCAGTATGATTGACTTGTAAATTCTATCAGCCAAGGAGCATGTTGTTGGTTGGTACAGCACTGGTCCAAAACTTCGGGAGAATGACCTAAATATTCACGGACGTTTTAGCGAGTAAGAACATCTGTCCTTTTAAATGAAAGAAATTTCATTTGCGTTTATTGGTTGTGCTTATTTTATGGGCAATTACATTTATCCTTTCCATTGAATTGATAAAGTTGTAGAAGTGGATAAGTTACAAAATATATAGTGAAAATATGCCCTACCATGCATACTGCCGAAAGAAGTTCTCATTTTTGGAAGTATTTGTTCACGTGTTTGCTAAATGAGCAATGTGTTTGGGTTGGGTCCAAATTAAAGATTTAGCTCTTGTTGGCTTTGCATTGTTGTATTGGTGTGGCATATAAGACATCTCTGATCTAATTTAATCTATCTTTTGCGTGTTGTCGAGAATTCTAAACCCATATTTTACCTCTTTGCTGAGTTGATTGACTACTTACTATTTTAAATAAATGAAAGACTTCATTGTGGTGGACAGAACTTCGATTACTTCTATTTCATATACATCTGAATTTGACTTGAGATCATTATCATTTCTTGCTGGCCAGAAGCACTTGTTGACTGCATGGCATGAGTATCATGTAACTCACCTTTTTAGAAATTGGTGATTCTTTACCTAGACAATCATTGGGCTCCAGTGTCCACTGGCTTCCTTGAGGAGTTTCAAACTTGAGTTGATATATCTGCATCAAAAGTTGTTTGCTTGGCTGTGTGTGGTCTTTGCTCATGTATGATCTTAGCTTATCCTGTAAGTGATGTTGAAGAGGACAAGCAGTGGACAAGCATTACACGAACGCGGGAAATCTAAGCTTGAAAGTAGCTAATGCTAACTTGAGCTGTATTCATGCAAAAGGCACCTGAGGCTGAATTGAAATATATGTGATCTCCTTCGTTTCTACTGACATTTGCTAAATATGTAATTCTAATGCTTCTAAAAGTATCTGTGGATTTCACAGAAATTTAAACAATGTAAATGACATCTTTAAAAGCATTACTTCAGTTTTTTCCGTTCTTTCTTTATTTTTATTTTTTTTCAAAATGTGTAATATGCTTAATGGAGCTTCCCAAGGTGTTGGTTTTTAATTGCCATTCAGTTCCTGCTTTGTGTGTCTTTGAACTATGATATTCTTCCATATCCCTTGCTTTTCTCTTTCCACTTCCAAATCCCTTCGCTAGTGCTAAAAATAGTTGAAGTTTAGACCCCTCTTGCTCCCCCTCTCCTCTACTTTTCCCAAGTTCTGATTTTCATAAAAGATTTGCATATCTTTCAATTTTTTTGCAGAATAAGTAGTCATTTAGATTACTTCACAATCCTTCCATTGGATTACCACAAACATCAGTTATCCCCCTCCGTTTCTAGGCATCTCAATCTTACCAAAAACATGTTTCTTCTAACACATCTATTTCTTCATTAATCACTCAATTTTGGCTCATATATTGCAGCTATGTTCCCACTCCTGTATTGGTCATTATTGATGTCCAGCCAAAAGAGCTCGGAATACCTACTAAAGCATATTATGCTGTTGAGGAGGTGAAAGAGGTATGGTTAAGATGAATACTGTTTAATGCGTATCGACTGACTACCAACTTATATTCTGCTTGGCCAACAAAAACAACAAAATTTTATAAGCTGTCTGATCTAATGGTTGCGCGAACTTGCAGAATGCGACTCAGAAAAGCCAGAAGGTGTTTAATCACGTTCTTTCAGAAATTGCTGCACATGAAGTTGAAGAAATTGGTACACTCATCGTAGTGCATTCGTTTATAAATTCTGCCATTTTGCTTTTATGCCAAAGAGGATGCTGATTTTGCTAAGTCAACAGGAGTTGAACACTTGTTAAGGGATGTGAAAGATACGACTGTCAGTACGCTTGCAACAGAGGTTTCTTCGTCCATCCTTCTTTTCTAGTGCACAAGTGATATTAAACATTATATCATAATTGAATAACAGAAATGATAAGAAATGGCTTTCTTTCCTATCCAGGTGACTGGGAAACTTACTGCTTTGAAGGGGTTGGATGCTCGATTGAAAGAGATATGCAGTTATCTTGACCTTGTTATAGAAGGGAGGCTCCCGTTAAATCATGAGATTCTCTATCATCTACAGGTATTATTTTTTGTGTTTCATTTGAGTTTATTTGTGAATTGAACATGTAATTGGTGCCCCATCTTCTTTTTCCTCGCCACTCTAACCTTGAAAAATTATTAGTTTAAGACACTCTGTTTAAGTACACATATTACATGGTTCCAGGTGATATTTGTGGCAATCATCTTCCAACTATATGATTTTCAAAACCTTTTTTTTTTTTTGGCAATGTAATTCATCACATTGATGTTGGGATGTAAGCGGGATGATCTCCCATGAGACATTCATCCCTATCTTGTAAACTTTAGCAAAACTCTAGTTACAATATTGTATTTGGCTTCCTTTGCCTCAAAATTTCCATCTTCCATGAAGCTTTCGACACTCAACTCTGTTATAAATTGAGATGAGAAGGCCTGTCAGATTTGGTTTCTTTATTCCTTTGTATTTTAAATTTACCTGGTCCAACTGTAAATGAGGTAGACGCCACAAACAATTTGGAGTTACCTCACCTCTAACCTCCCAACATCCCCTCTTCTGGATTCAGATAGCCTGCGTAGAAGTTCATTCTTGCAGCATCGCATCTCTACGCTCAAAAATTTTAAGCGAACTTATTGAAGACAAA